TTTTTTTTTATTAAAGGATTTTTTTTTTTTTTTTTTTTTTTTTGAGAGTGTTAGTGGACTAGAAGATTGTCGTATCTTTCGACAAGGATTTCGTTGTTTTTTTTTATTTAGTGAGTTAGCATTGTTTTTTACTATTTTTTGAACTTTTTTAGATTCTTCTTTTTATTCTGTTATATTGATTAGAGGATTTTGATCTCCTTTGGGGGTTTTATCTCCTGATTATGTTGGATTGAATGCTTTAGTTAGAAGATTTTTAATAATTAATAGTCATATTTTAAAATGACAAAAAATATGCCCAGCTCATAAAAGTGCCTTAAAAATTAACATAATTTTCAGAAACTGTACCGCACTAAAGCTTTCAATAAAAAAGCACTTTAGTAAAATATAATTCTTAAAAATTACTTCTTAGCACTTCTACTCCAAAAAATGCTAAAAAAAGAACTTAATCATCCCATGTAATGAAATGACGAATGACCAGAAGGCTTCCATCGTCCGCTGCAATCCAGGACTGAACAGTGGGCTGAGAATGTACAGAAAAAACAAAACTGTTGTCTGGCTACCAAAAAGGAATTTGGGTGAAGATATGTGAATTGTAAATTGTTCTAAATTATCAACAAAAATCAACCGCTGAATCACTATTCGGCGCATAATGATCGATGAACTGTGCTGGACAAGAGTCACAATCGTCCACTTCTTCCACTGCCCGCTTCTTCGTCTCTGCTTGTTTCATCTTTCTGAAATAACCACAGAACACTGAGACAAAAAAAATAAATGGCAACGCGCACCAGACTAGCCGGTGCGATCATGCGTTTTGTGCAATTTGCTCATCGAACGATTGCCTATTAATGATTTTCACTGCTTTGTACTTTAGTCTATGCAAAAATAGTTTAAACATTGGAAAACAATTAAAACTTTCACGCATCAGCGTATGAAAGCTGAGTTCGAAACCTTGAAGGATATCTTTCTGTGATTCCCGAGTTAATAGTTTACCTGTCAAAATTT